GTTAAGAGTTCATATCACAAACGATTCGCGAGTTTAGCAGTTTACACTGCAATAACAATTCGCAAGTTCAATTACTGTGAAAGTGATATTATTAAAACAAAGTTATAATCGATATAATTTGATAAATTAAATCAAAACAATTACCCGCAATAATATAAATAAATTTAACAAATAAAAAACGGCATCTAAGACTACATTTCACCAATGTCAGTATTTAACAAATAATTGTGTTTAAACTAATAACGTGCGTAGCCAATAAATTGCACATGTAAATATTAACCAACTGCATAAATAAAATATAAATTTGCTATATTAATAAATATGATAATATAAAATGATAGTATAAAAATGTTTTCTAAATTTTCTGGTGATCAATAATATCTGTACTAGATTGTTGAAGTTCAACATAGTCTAAAATTAGACCATCAGGTAAGTGTCTTTCAAAATTCACATTATTAATTGGTTAACAGTCTTTAATTTAATAATAATAAACAATATGTCAAAGAACTAAATTTGAATGGTATAACGTTTAATCGCCTCTTAATTTTGTTTATTAAATTTAATTAAATTTATTTACTAACTTTTTCAAATAAGTTTCACAATATGAATATGCCTACAGTTGTATACGAAACTCGTGCATGTGTTTTTATTATAAAATTTGCTGTATTTTTAATGGGTGTTTGCAATTGGCTTAAATGAGCATTAAAAATTGGATGATTTTGATATAAATGATAGAACTCTAAAATTTTGATAGGCTCCAATCTTGGAAAACAACTGTGATTAATCCGAACCAAGTTAATTAAATAATTTTTCATCTTTGAACAACTTTTACCAACTCTGATATTAGATCCTATAAAGTGCTCTAGTTCTTTTCCATCTTTGTCATAAAAACTGACTCATTTGCAAATTTGTTCTACATTTTATTACCTCTGATTATATAATGCGATCTACTTTATATTAATTTAATAATAAATCCTACTGCAATTAGATAATTGATATGATTCCAATTTTCATAACATAATATAATAATATATCCTATAATCTACGACTATAAAACAGGTTTTTCTGTTTTCCAATGCAACTTTTACTATCTGTAAACATATCTGACTTTGAAAATTTAAATATTAATTGTACTGCCTTCTCTATTGCTTTCAAGTTAGATGCAAAAAAATATCCTACTTTAAGATCTTAATCTTTCTGTAATATTGCGGATTGTGTTTAATTCCCAAATTTTGATCCAATCTCATATAACCATTTCTCAATCTCGAGCGAGTCTCTCAATAAATATATTGAAAATGTTTTGTATTAGCTAAAATAGAGCCTTTATAGGTGTTCAATTCAGTTGTACAATGTATTTCTAATTTTTGTCAAAAATATATAAATTATAACATTTTATTGCTTTTCGCATTTATCAATAATTTGAATATGTAGCACATAGGTGAGTATAGTTTAAATTTCTAAAATCACACCTGTGCTCTCAATCAAATAATTATATTATTGGTATATTTAAACTGTTGAAAAGTATTTACGAAAAATAAGCTTATTAGAGATGTACAAAACTGTATTAAAATCTCCGATCTTATTATGCATCATATTTTCTACTTCGAGTTGCCACATCACTCCCCGTTCAATATTGGCGATAAACCTATTGGTTGGGAATCGACCTGATTAGTTTTTGGTAAAGATCGGCAAAGCGGTTTTCTTGTAATGCAGTGTTAAAAAAAAATTCGACGATTTTTTGAGATACCATAGTCCTATACGAGGTCTGTTCAAAAAGTACCCGGAATTTTCGTTTTTTCAAAAAAATATTTATTTATTCGTCTACATTAATGTGGTCCCCTTCAAAGTAGTCCCCCCTAGATATAATACACTTATGCCAGCGTTTTTTCCAATTTTCGAAGCACCCTTGATATTCACTTTTTGATATGTCCTTGAGCACTCTCAGCGATTTTCTTCAATCGAGGAAAACCGCCGTCCTTTCATGGGTCTCTTCAACTTTGGGAATAGGAAAAAGTCACACGGAGCCATATCTGGTGAATTTTTGCACTTTGCAACACTTTATTTCATTTTTTACGCAAAATTTAATACAAATTCTTTGACTTTTCAATTCTTCCATTGTAAAAATCGCCGAGCTCAGAAAAACACGTCGAACCTTAGCGACTACCACAGACAAAGTAAACAGTGAATATAGCTGAAAATTTCATCATACTTTAGGGGCATGTATACCAACACAATAAAAAAAAAATTTTGACAATCAGACACTCCAGACCCGCGAAATTTAATTATTAGTAATTCCGGGTACTTTTTGAACACACCTCGTACATCATACTAAAATAGTACGCCCTACAGCCCAAATCGTTTAATTTTTAAAATTTGTCAAAGTTTGCAAAAATTAGTATGTTTTTTTTGCATTTGTCAAAATTAGACCTTTCATCAACGTTTGCTCAAAAACGCCTGATCCGATTTCAGGAATTTAAAAGCCATTTGATGTATTTCAATGAGGAATATCGTTTTGTGTGACGATCTGCCGAGCCGTTTCTGTGTAATTAGGAAAAAAGTGTTAAACTTTTCGTACACATTCAAGCTCATATCATCGAATCGATTTTAAAAAATCAACTGTTCGAAAGATGTTAGTTGGGAATTATACTGATTAGTTTTAGGTGAAAATATACCGAGCCGTTTTCTTGTAATTAACTGATGAAAAAATAAATTAAGCAGATTTTACGGAACTTTTTTGGCGATATATTATCATGGTATTATTTATAGAACTTACTGAAATATTATGGTCTTAGACAAGTAATTTAATTTTAAAAATTCATCAAAGTTTGAGAAAATGAGTAGTTTTTTTGACGTTTGTTAAAATTAATATTAGAAAATTTACTTGGTATAACAATAAAGTGTTCGTTCGTTTTCTATTATGTGTAATAAATTCACTCAGAAAACTTTTAATCATTTAGAAATTAATTTAATTTTGATTGATTAATTCGATTGTTTACACATATCGGGAAGTTCATGTAACTTGCCTCAAGGCAAAATACCAATACCAACTAGTTTAATAATGGCTTATAGGTGTAATTTTTGACTCGTACATTGATTTCTTAATTTCACCACTTTTCAGTGGTTGGTTCCGCAGTTTCAGCATGGCACTTTGGAGAATAGAATATATTCAAAGTATATAGATATAAATAGGTACTCAAAAATACACATATTTTTAAAATAGGCTGCGCTTATAAATACTTTGGGATTTTTTTATTCAATTTTATTCTGCAATCTGTGTAAATTAATACCTTTAGCAAAGAATTCTATCAAGTATATTGTGAAATAGTTTATTACAAATTAGTGGATACCCAAATTAGTGGCGTATCTACTAGAGCTAATTAATATTATGAAAAAAAAAACTAAAAACAGAAGGGAAAAAAACTTTTGGAAATTTAATATTAATTTTGGGTAATATTTCAAATCTCAAAAGAAAGGTGCTACAGATATGACCTTATCATAAGCTCTCTTCCAAAATAATGCAACAGCATAATTATTATTTGCATTAAATACAATACAAGTTCATATTGTTTTGCAGGTATCTATGAAATACTATATCCGAGTTTTTTACCTTTATTTTGTTCGATTAGACATATTTAAAACTTATATAATTGAAGATAATTTCAATTTGAATTCAACAAGTCTCGAATCCATTTTTTGTAACTATTACAAAATTGGTTTTTAACGTCAGATGATGAGTCGACAATAATAGTTCTTTTTCTGATAAAGTCTTTGAATTTTTTTTGGAGGTTTCTATAAAAAAACACCCTGCCGGCTATATTAGACTTATTACTATGAATGAAAGAATCACTCCGATACAACTCCTCCTTGAGAGTTAATCCGAGTGGAGTTGTCTCACAGGAGTTGTCATATCCGACTCCCCTAAACTGATACTAAATCTGTTAACATTTTTTTTATTTTTGAACAGCAATCAGAACCTTACGTCTTATGAGCTGTTGAACTGAAACTTCTCCTTCCTTGGTATTTTTTTTTAGATGGTAACCCAATGGTTATTCCATCCATATTTGATGATTTTGTTATTAGAATTAATCTAATAGTGCCGACATTTTATTGGTCCAGAAATGCCGGGCAAGGGCTATTTTTGCTTGGAAACATATTGCTATCTATATTTTCAAGTGAAAATTATTGTCACTGCTGCCTGACAACAGGCTGCTCAAAGTTTGTATCGAACCCGGGACCTCTGAAACAAGTCCCGTCGCTCTTAACCGTTTACCTACGGCTCGCCCGTAAATCTGTTAACATGTACAGATATTTGCTTCAGATTTTTTCTAATACAAAGATTTTGGTCGAAAGAATTGGTTTTAGAACTTTCCAGGTATATAATGTCTCAAAATAATGCGATTTTGTATTTTATATTCTGTATACGATAATGTTGGTCCGTAAATGAGCTCTTTCAATGGTATACAACCAGCTAAAAATATTTAGTATATTATAACTTTTACACAGTTATGATATAATATAACTCCTCTCTAAAACGGAGTCAAATCCTAACTGATCCGGCTTCGGATATGATAAACCTATCTCTACTATGAATCATTAAAAACAATTAAAAGTAATAGAATCTGGTATGATTGCTGCTGATTTGTTAACAAGTGTACGAATTTAAAATTTTTCATCTTTTAGTTATATAAGAAAAAGATTCAATGTTCAATTAATTCGAATATTTTTTTTTTGTACCTCATTCGAGTTTTATCATATCCATGATGTTATTATCTGCCAATTGTTAAGAAGAAATAATAAAAAACTAAATCTTCATACACTAATAAAAAACGCCGCTATTGAAAATTAGTATCTATATTCTATAATATATATTATTGCCAACTTGCGTCAAGGGCGTAGGATTAATTACAAAACCAATGCTACTGATTTTCTATTATAAGTAAATTGAAAAAAAATTGCTGATTGAAATTAAATTACAGAACAAGGAAATCTGTCGAGCAATCATGAATATCTTGTCTTTCGCACTCGGAACATTGGCTTTGGCCGTTTTCAGTGATGCCCAAGATGCCAACCAACCACACATTATTTTCATCATGGCTGATGACATGGTAATTTCAATAAATTTTAATAACAATTTAATTTTGTCATTGATTAATAAACATTAAACCACTAGATTATTTTATTTTGTTCAACGCTGAACTTGTACGTCATGAACTACATAATTTTTATATATTCATGAATATAATTATGAAAAAATCGAGCAAATATTTTCAATGTTGAAAGGTAATAATTTGCATTTAAATGGAATATATATTGCAAAAATGTTTTTATTTAGACTTGCATAAAATCATATACGTGTTTGGACAAAAATATAAGTAAACAATTAAAAATTCAACTAATGATTAGTAGTAAATAACATTGGCAATGTGTTCAATATGTTATTGAATGAATTTTTCCAAATTCAAAATCGAGCATGCTAAAGTTCCCGTTAATCAATAATTACATATTTACATTGTGTTCAAGCATTATTTTTGTTTATTAAATTCAATTTTCAATCAAAAGTTGTCACACTTTTAACTGAAGAAACAGACTATATAAAAGACGCAAAAAATGTTTGAGATTCAATAATGATTGCTAGTATTATTACTATTATAGCTAGTATTATTACATAGTATTTATTACTATATATACATTACATTAGGGCTTCAATGATGTAAGTTTTCGTGGTTCGAACCAAATTCCGACCCCAAATCTGGATGCGTTGGCCTACAATGGGATGATACTGGATAACCATTATATGCAACCTCTATGTACGCCTTCAAGAGCAGCGCTAATGACTGGCAGATATCCAATATACTCAGGTATTTATAGCACATTATTATTATTATCAAATGATTTATCGAATGGAAAAATTATAAGTTCCAAAAAGATAAGTTATATTTTCAAAATTTCGTAACAAAAAATACCGGGAAATTTCCAAAAACGTGGGCATTTTCATTTGTTTGTGAGGTAAGTCCAGGTTTCGTTATATTATATACGGACTCATGAAGATGGCAATGTAAAATGCAAAATTATAAATAAAGCATATAAAATACAAAGCGATTTTCATATAGACATACAGCATATCTCTATGAGGTAACGCAAGTAAAGCCAACATTTTTGCAACAATCTTAAAATAAACATCTGAAGAAAATATAGCGCCCAAATATGTTCCAAATTGGCTTATCCAAGATACTAGTATGGACATAGTGACAAAAAATATTGGAAGGTTTGAAAGTACTAAGCTAGATAGACAACCATCCAAGTAAACGTGCTAAAGATTTGCTAACCGCAAACATTACTAGACGTTTCAAAAAAAAAAACAAGCTCATCAAACTTAACTTATTTATTAAATATTATTAAAAAATATTCAGTGTTCACATTTAACTTTCCAATGATAAAAATTTAAAACCCACAAACCGCTTGTGAAATTTTACTTTAATATTTGTCACAAATAATTTATATTATGTATATTATTATAATGAATCTATATTTATATTATTTAATATACTTTATAATTTATTATAATCCGTACAAATAAAAAACTACGTTACAACTAATTTGTATTAAATCAATTTCTACAGTAGTTTTATGATCCGAAATAAAAATTATAAATGTTTTTATCAATAAAAGTGATAGAAAATAATGAAAATTAACTATTGTGTGCTAAGATAAAAATATTTATTAGAGCATTTTTACCTTAACCTAAAATTTTATATTTAAGAAAGGAAAAGAACGTGTTTTTCATTTCATGCTCTAGATAAAAATTTTGAAAAAAAATGGCTATACTTCAGGATTCTTCCATAAAAAAGAGAGATGACCCCCATAAGAATAACTACGTAGCAAATACAGTTAATATCAATTGAAAATACATACTATTTACCCAAAAAATTCATTTTTACCCCATTTGGGTAATTTACCCTGGTTCCCCGACCACTGCTTTATAGAGATCAATTGCAGTATCATTCAGAAATATATAATAGTTTTTTGACCACTTATACAATTTTGTGATATTCCCAATTTACCACTAACACGGAGTTTTCAAATAAAAAATCTATTATTAATTATATTACTTATCCATGTATTGTAAACATAACCATAGAGGTTTGCATTTACATAAGTATAGAAATAATATAAATGTTTTATGAGTTTGCAGACCGTTTATGTGCATTTTAAAGCACATCTATGAAAGATTTAAATAAAAAAAAATTCTATACTATTTTCAAGGTAAAATATTGCACTATGAATTACCTAGAGTTAGTTAATGTTGTTCATTCAATATGTTAAACAAATGGCTTTATATTCCAGGTTTACAAGGCGCGCCATTATTGGCGAACGATGTAAGGGCTCTTCCACCAGGAAAAATTTTACCAGAATATTTAAAGGACTTGGGTTACACAACAAGATTAGTTGGAAAATGGCATTTGGGACATAGATCTCTCAATGAGACTCCAACGTACAGAGGTTTTGATTCTCACTTTGGCTATTGGACTGGTTGCACAAGCTATTTTGACCACGTGCTGGCTGAATACACTGTAAGTAATTGAACTAGATGTAAGTGGCAGTTTGCCTGAACGCAAATTGCTTGAATGTACTGAGATGTGTGTAATATAATATCTGGAAAATATTTCCCAGATAGTCTTATAATTTAAAGGACAACCAACTGATTTGTCAAATATTATTATGCATATATTTAAACTTATGGGCCGATTCTGCCGTACAACAGACGAATGTTATGGCAAGGCCATGTTAGGTTCCAACTTCCATACATTATGTCCACTGAATCCTACTGAATACTATCAAAATGTATGTATTTGCTGAGCATTCAGGAGTTTTACAAATAAACTGCAACGTCACTCGTATGTTATGAAGCTATGTCAGAAACACACTGTTATCTAAGATCGTGTTTTTGATATTTGCACAGTTTCTGTGTTAGGTTTTCTATCTGACAACCTGAGATAAACACCTGACTGCACAGCAACTACATGGCTTTTGTCAATATTTAGGACGATTTTGTATGGAAAGTTCTTCATAAAATAGCTTTGCACTAACATTGGTCTGTCATGGGGCAGAATTGGTCCATTAATTATTTTATTAATTTTTCATAAAGTGAAGGCGAACTTTTACAAAATTTATGTTTTTTATTTATGTCTATTAAACTTAGGCAACTCTCTGGTAATCAGAAATATTTTATGTTACGGGTCTGTAATTGTACGAGTAGTCACAATCTGTCAAAAAAATTATGTATTTGCTGTATGATCACGCGTTTTACACATAAAACCTAACCTCCAAAAAACACAAATCAAATACCAATTTTATTGTAAGTGCAAGATTCTGATGTCTCTTTGAAAAATACATAAGCAAAGTCTTACCAAAATTGAAATTATGACGTTTATGCGTTTTGGAGGTTAGGTTTTATGTGTAAAACGCCCGATCGCACAGCAAATCCATAGAATTTTGACAGTTTGTGACGAAATTGGCTCTGCATATATACGTATGTTAATACATATATGTTAACATAAAATTTAATTCAATAATAAAATTATTTATTTGTATCGACACTAAATGTGCGTCATCATTTTAAATGCTAAAATTAAAGAATCATTGAATAAATACAGTGGCAACAAATGAAATAAATGAACTTGGTTATAAATAGTAGAAGACATCTGTGTTATCACATCTGTGTTATTGCAGTTAGAATTTATGAATGATTTGCTTATACAAGATTGTTTTCAATTTTTACGATGTCAGATAAATAATATTATCCATGTAGGCTTTATATTCTAGTAAAAAACTGAACAAATATGCTCTTACAAAAACTATAACATTTATGGTGGTGTAGTGGTTCAGAGCGTAGGGCAGCGCAAACTAGTCTCCTATTGGATTCTAACCTCAACCAGCTCGATATTAAGTAGTATGATATTCGTGGCACTATTAGATATGCATACATAATGTAACATAAAGAACAAGAGTGGTTGACCGCTGGATTACATTGACAAAAAAAATATTAGGGTAATTCTAAATTTTTTTTACAGAGTGATGGAAAGGCTCACTATGGTCATGATTTCTACCGTAATACAACAAGCGCATGGGATTTGCAAGGCCAATACGCAACAAGGCTTTATTCCCAAGAGTCTGAACGAATTATTAATGAACATCAAAATCCCGAGGAAAACCCACTTTTTCTTATGGTTGCTCATATGGCTCCCCATTCGGCAAACAAAGGAAAATTTTTGGAAGCGCCGCAAGAAACTATTGACAAGTTTTCTCACATTCCAAATGTGGATCGGAGGACATATGCTGGTAAGCGTTTACTTGTTATTTATTTGTCCATTTATAATATATTTCAATATTGTTATTAAATTACTCTAATTGATTTATTAATTATGAATAAGCCTGGCAAAAGCATATATATAAATGTACATATACTTCCAACAATTATAAATAATTATTATTTTTTACAGCAATGGTCAGTGAATTAGATGACAGTGTTGGAGTATTAGTAGAAGCTCTGAAAAGGAAAAATATGTTGCACAATTCTGTGATTCTATTCAGCTCAGATAATGGAGGTGCAACTACAGGAATATATCCCAACTGGGCGTCAAATTATCCATTAAGAGGCGTAAGTTGATGCTTTAACTATACCAAGTAATTTTCAAAATAAATTTAAAAAATACCCCAAAATAAAAAGAGTGCCGCTAATCATAATTATGGGTAAATTTAATAAAAGCAGTTATATTTTTAAAATTATTTTATATTAATTCACAATGTTAAGACATATGGAAATTATGTAAAATTTCCAAATTTAAGTTGGATATCAAAATATCTAGTAACACCAAGTTACTTAAACTGCTGTTGAGCCATGCTTAATAGTTGCATCAACTGTTTTATAATGTATTTTTCGTGGTATTTATTTTTTAATGAATACTTACAACTATACACAGAATATATTATATTATTTTATAATATTCAGTATCAGTAACGTAATTTTCATCGAATTTATATTTATTTATTATTTATTTTTTATTTTAAACACGAGTTGAAAGTGACATTTTCTCTGAAGGCAATTTGCACGAACTTCTCGAAAGGTGTAATAATTGAGTTAATCAACCGAAAATGAAATTTAGAAATTTAGATAAAATTTATAATTGTTTATTTTGAAAATAAAGATTTCGCTTTTTCCTAAACACATTTAAAAAGTTATCTGTAATTATATTAATTATATTGCACAGGCACGTGCTATATGTCCTAAAATTGTAGTTTATAATTTCACACTTTAATAAATTGAGAATGTTTGACTTATCACATAATAAATGCAACTTTTGACACCAATTTTGACTATACTGTTTTTTCAAACTTTATTATATATGACCTCTAATCCTTCATTACCAATTCTAACAATAAGTGAAAAACATTTATTTCGAAATATTCCATTCAAATCAACTTTTTTTGAAAATTTTATCTATATGAGTTTATTGTGATTAATTTATTACTAGAATAGTCTTAATATATTAAATACTTATTCTTTAATTAATTATTTAAATTAATTAATTATTAATAATATTTCAGATTAAGGGTTCTCTGTGGGAAGGCGGTGTACGTACTTCTGCTTGTATATGGAGTCCATGGATGCAGGGAAAAGGCATTCACGACGGTTTGATCCATGTTACTGATTGGTTTTCTACTTTTATAACTCTTGCTGGTACGTATTGCAATTTTAATTCATGAAGTAATAAAGATTTAGCAGTAAAAACTGACGAAATGACAGAGCAATATATGTATTAAAATAATTGTAATAAAATTGGTGGGGCACTATTATCCAAATTTATTAACTTAAAATGCAAAGTATATACAGTCAACTTTAAACTATGTAAATGACTGATTTTTTAAAAAAACACAAATTAATAAAAAATACGGATATGAAAGATACAGTCCATTAACTAAAAACACCCACCAACTTCTATCATATAATGGCAAATAAAAATACTGATAATTTTTTTTCCAATACTCTCTAGAGGTGGAAATTTTAATAACTGCACTTTTACAAACTCTTAAGGAGTTCTGAAAATCCCACTTAAACAGAGCCTATCAGCTTGATAAATTATACAATGTAGTATTTTATTGATATTTCAAATTGCAGGTGGTGATGTTTCACAATTGAATGTGGATGGCTTGGATCAAACTGCATCCTTAATTTATGGCTATCCATCACCCAGGAGAGAAATGCTTCTCAACATCGATGAAGTAGTAAGTTATAATAAATCATAATTGATTTTAAAATTTATCATAATTGATTTATATATATATATATATATATATACTTGATAACCCGACAGACGTTATCCTGTATATCCACATCTACATTTTAAGTTCCAAATTTTTTAATATCCTATCCTACACATCTGACAGTTTTTATGTATCTAAATATTTTTAATATCAAACAATGATAAGCGTTTTTTTTGTATTTGTTTCATTTATTTCTACAATCTAACTATATTTCTATAATTCGAACAATCCTAAAATATTCCCTTAACAAACTTTAGAAAGATTTATCAAAATCTGAATAATCCTTTAGGAGGAGTATTATTTCATACATCATTACAGAATAATTTTATATATGAGATATTCACCTGAAGACAAGTTGCATTAATTTATTCATAAAAATATCAATATTAATATTTTATTTATCTCTGTTTAACAGCAAAAACATTCCGCAATCAAGTACGACAATTGGAAGTTAATTGTAGGACCAGCATTCAAAGGGCAAGCCAACCTCTACAGTGGAGAAAAAGGAATTGAAGTAACCCATGAGCCCTTTTATGACATTTCTTTGGTCAAAAATAGTTTAGCAGGTCGCGCCTTAGCCGAAATTGGATTTGTCTTCAATGATAGTATAGCAAAATCTAACAGAAAAAAAATTATCCCAAAATGTATCAACAGAGACTCCAGCAAATTCCAAAGCACCTGTTCGTTAGTGCATTATTGTAAGTACTAATAATATTTATATTATATGTTAATTATATGTTAAGTTAATTGCCAATATGTAAAAAAATAGCGAATGCGTTTCGCTGAAATATCTGGTCTTCAATTACGACATGTGTCAATTTTTTTGAGATTTTTCAATTTTCCTTAAAATTTAGCCAAATCAGCTGAATAAACAAAGTTGCGATATATGATAGATAAACTAAGAATTTTGAGATGAATCTAACTATGTATAATACTGTATATGATTTTTTATGAGTTTAGAAAATAGTTTGAATAGCTGCTCAAACCTAACCGCACTTCTTTCTTTTAACTTGTAAATATTTCCACATATTCTATCCTACAAGATAAACCATGAGAGCTAAGTTTGTTTTTGAAAGATGCAAAACGATATATAATTCGATATGTATTTTCTTGAGATTTTTCAATTTTTCTTGAATTTTAACACTGCAATTAGCCCATAGGCCAAATCGTTTGAAATACAATATTGCAATATATGAAAAAAAAAACTAAGAATTTTTAGACAAATCTAACTATATATAATACTTTATATAGTTTCTTTATTCATAATCGAGAATAAATGCAAAAGTCTTGATACACTCCTAATATGTACAATTACCCCTCGACACATATCTAGACCAAAAAATGTAGTACGATTGCAAAGTTACAACTTTTGTATCTTGACTCCAATTTATGTAAGAGTGGTCCTTAATATGGATATTTTCGAATTTCTTTGCTGTCAGGGGTTCAAATGCTTCCAAAGTGCTCAAAAAATGAGAAGTTTTAGCTCCTAATATTAATTTTAAGATAGTCCGCACTCCAACTAAAGTTTCTTGGTTTTTCTTCTTAAGTAAATGCTTATTTTATGAAATATATCGAATTTTTGTTGTAATTTTTTTATTTATGATCAAAATAAGTAAATACAATGTTATTTTCAAAATTTCGATTCACTTGTCGCTTGGTTATAAAATTTAAAAAAATAAATGGAATTTTACCCATGTTAAAAAACAAATAGGAAGTGACTCGTTTCAATAGTGCGGACTATCTTAAAGTTAATATTAAGAGCTAAAACTTTCAGAGATTTTTTTCTATCATTTTGAAATTATCTGAACCACTGAGAGCAAAGAAATTCCAATATATCCGTATTAAGGGCCATCCTAATATATATAATATATATATATTAGGATGGCCCTATATATTAGGATATATATATATATATATATATATATATTTATATAATTTGCGATTTATTTATGTATTTAATTGCTTATTTAATATTCTTTTTCGCGCTCTCTAGGGCAATGTGATAATAAAGCATAAATTATATAATATTAAAATCAAATGAAATTTAATATTATACGTTCAAGAACATAAAATGTTATGCCTGCTACTGCCATATGTCACTTGCATTTCACGGCCGTTATGTCGAAAACGCGGAATTTGTAAATCTGTCAAATTTAATTTGAATTTATTGACATGGAAAGGAATGACTAGATGATTTGGAATATAAATGAGAAGTTTTATGTACAATTTACTTTTGATTTTATTATTTTATTATTTTTCCGCAGTCGAAATATCTATTTGTTTACTTAGTTATTTAAAAACAAATATAATTGTTTAATTTATTGATAAATCTAAAGCTTTTATTGATTCATAACGAGCAATAACAAATAATTTAATTAAAAATCAGCGTAGATTTTGTAAGACTTTCGATTTATAGTTCAGACCACATTATAATTTATTCTTTTGAAAAGGCCATGTTTTTTACAGCAATATTTTGCGATATGTAAAAAATAAATCATTTGACAATGCACATTTTTTTATACAACGCTTCTAGATATATTAGAAAAATTTGATAAACAAGGACAAACACTTAAGCAATTTATAATGTACGTTTCAACCAAACCCAAACTTCATTTAAATTGGGGACAAAATTATTAAACTGGGTGTACCGCAAGGATCAAGTTTAGGACCTTTTTCATTTTTTATCTGGAAAAATTATTTAGCGCTTTGTACAAATCTTTGCAGTTTTATTCTATTTACGAATGATGCGTTTTAAAATTTGAATTAAATTAGAAAAAGTTTTATCAGCAATGAATAATGGCTCAATATCGTCTTAAATAATGATAATACACAAATTATTTTTTTCTGCTCAACTAATCGATTGATGAATACGAGCAAGTTTTTTAACTAATTAATTTTCATTAACACAATATAATTCCTTAAGCATTAGAATTTCTTAGTTTTCATAACAATAATAACTAGTGGTTGATGGCATCGTGCTAAAACTTCTCATACTAAAAATTATTTTTTTAAAGAAAGCTTTGGAATTTTTTGAAAACTAATAAAATTAGATGCTTGAAAATTTTGATTGTTTTATATTTTTTATATTTTGAATTTTTTCAAAAAGTTTGAACTTGATTTCAAATCAATCTCGCTCCTTAGCTGTTTTAGAGACGAAAAATCAAAGCGTGTAAGCGCCGCGATAAACATAGGTACGGAACCCATAGGAATACAATGCATATAAATGCAAACAACATTTGTTCTTATTATTGAAACATCCATAAAATTTTATCAATTCTTCTTCTGTCAACACAAATAAAATGCTTTTTTAAACATTCAAATCGAACGCTCCGATGTTTCAAAAACTGAAATACTATTTTTGGCACTTTTAGTCCCGTATTTACGAAACGGCTGGACCTGCTTTAGCCAAAAACCAATGTGTCTGTCTCCTCATTGATACAAATCGAATGTTTTTTTAAAATATTTGAATTGGTTGATACGTATAATGAATAAATTTTACTTACGTTTAGTCAACGCTGGAAGTGAAACGTATTGTTGAAACCAGTCTTAATACATTTTCTTAGAAACTATAATTTGTGTTTTAATAATTAAGAATTTATAAAGATTTTATTGCTGTAACTGCTATTTTCATATTTGTAATTTTTCTGTTAATGTGTTTATTTTAATATGTAATTTTTGATTTTAGATTCCTTGTGCTTATTCGATTTGAGCAAAGATCCATGTGAATCAAAAGACATATCTGCTAACAATCCAAACGTGGTTAATGACCTTTTGCTAGCAATTGTACAATATAAATCGAATATGATGCCCCAAATGCTTCCGGAAGTTGATCCTCGAGGACTTCCAGAACTTTACAACTACACGTGGTCCCATTGGCTTGACCAAAGTCCAACCACACCTCAGCATAGTAGCCAAATTGGATTTAATAGTCAATACTTTGATTATATGGAGAGCTTTGAAAATTTTTAATTTGGAAATTTAAAGAAAGAAACCAAATATTAATTTGTAAATTATAATATATTTAGAGTTAATGTCAAATTCGATAATAATCACGCCAGGTCAATCAAAACTTACAAGTAAAATGTTACCAAGCTACATAAAATGCCGATCATATTGATCGTTAAACTATACCATTAATTTATTTTATTTTTTAAAAAAATCTATTTGACTTTATTCATAAGTATGATATTTTATAAATACAATAATCCATTGTGATTTATATATATAATGAATAAAGCAAATAATAAATGCAAAATAGAGAATCTTTTTATTAGTTGAATCAAAATTTTCTCTTGAGAAAAATAAGTTTATATTAAATTTCAAATTGTTCAGGGATGATAAATAAAATTAAAAAATAATAATAATCAAATCATTACAATACCAAATAAAAAATTAACTAGTTGAAAGTGGCATTTAGCCTTAAGGCAAGTTATAATTTCAAGAAATTGAAATTCAGATATTTAAATCAAATTTTAAACTGTTCATTTCAAAAATAAAGTTATAAACAGATTTCCAATAGAATTTTCTCAAACACATTTAAATTATCTGTAATTATATTAATTATATTGCACAGAAACGTGCTTATATGCCCTAAAATTGTAGATTATTATTTTAAATTTTAATGAATTGACCATGTTTGACTCAGCACATCGCAACTCTTGACACAAATTTTGACTATAATATTTTTTCAAACTTTGATAAATTTTTAAAATTGAACTACTTGCCGTAGGGACGTAAAATTTATTGTAAGTTGTTTAGGACCATGATATCTATCAACATAAAAAGTTTCATCAAAAATTTCTTTTTGACAGTTTAATTAAACGGCATGTCATAGGGCCGTAATATTTTAGTATGATCTATAAGACCATGATATCTATCATAAAAAAAATAATAAAAATCGTCGAATTTTTTTTCAACAGTTAATTACATGAACACGTGCGACCGGATTTTTACCAAAAACTAATCAGCACGATTCCCAACTAATATCCTTCGAACGGTTTTTGAATTTTCAAAATAAATTGTGAGCTAAAACGCTGAGAATTTTTTTTTCGCTTTTCTGCTATTTAGGCAGAAATTTACGAAGAAACGGATTGGCTGAGCGCAAAACTAATTAAGGCTAGCTGTTCCACATCGAGATACATCGAATGGTTTCTAAAATTTTGAAATCGGTCCAGCCGATTTTGAGAAACGTCGATTCACACACGCACACACAAACTTTTTCCAAATTTGATGTCATTCGATTTAGAATAGCGAGAAAACAAAATTAGCGAATCGAATTTTTGGGCGAAAACAAACTTTTTCTTTGGAAAGTTAATGAGTTAATTAGACAAACAATTAGTTAATGCATAAATAAAATTGCAAAATTAACGCAAAACATAGCAGCTTATTCCGCATCTTTCGAATAACTTTATTTGTGTAGCTGTTTCTAGATTTATATTTTATTCTGAGTACAGATGAATTATATTTTTTTATTTTTGATATAAAGTAAGTATAAGACATTTCTATACTCAAAAAAGTAATTTTTGTGTTTAATAATAAAAGCATACTTGTTCAGAGTGCTTAATTTTGAAGTGAAAGAATTGTTTCATTTTCTTGTTGTCTTTTTGCAAACAACTTGTATATAGTTAAAAAACTATTAATTATAATAAAAAAAATCCCTAAATTTAACAAAATTTCATTCATTCAGTCTGACTATACGATTTGCCTATATACACCTTACGTAGCAAGACATCGTAATTTCCCCAGAATATAATAAACCAGATATGCAAACAAATTCAACAGAAATCAATAGTGTTTTTTATAATTAATTTCTGATTCATTTAAGATTCCTGTACTGAGTTACCATAACACGAGAATTTATGGTCAATTTATCCAAGATATCAGTTGAATGTAAATTCCTCTATGTTTTATTTATTTAAACATCCGAAACAACTATAATAAAACAATTCTAACTTTAGAAAAGGTGGTAATAAAAAAAAATATAAAAATGCAAATCAAGTGCTATAAAAATACTATGAACGATTAAAATTCAATAGATTTTTTCGCGAATTGATGGAATTATCGTCGTATAGTTAATCTATAATATAGTGAAAATACAATTTTGAAATAATTTAATTGCACGAAATTGCTAACGTAATAAAACTCAAAAATTTCAAATTGAGTAAGAATTTATAAAAAATCAATCATTATTTCGATATGTCTATTAACTTTCTGTCGTTCTGAACAAACCTTAAAATAAATAGTACACGATTATGACTATTTTTATATTTGTTCAAATACAAAGTTTCAAACACAAAACTGCAAAGATTTGGACATGTGTATAAGTATATATGTTTCTTTGCATTATAAACCGTACAGTTTTCAAGAAAATAACTCAAATCAGACGGTTTGAATATCCATTGATTTGAATCGCAAAAAATAGTTGCTAAATTTAAATTCTGGAAAATTTAGAGTTATTTTTTTTATTCTATATCGCAATGACAAATCCTTATTGACATTAGACTTTAATAAACTAGGCAAGATGCCATATTGAATCAATCTACTTGTTATAGCTATAAAGCTATTTAATCCAAAACCGAATATACTATGTTTAGTACATACAAATTTAGAAAAATATATATTACAAAGCACTAATTTTACACCTACAAAAAATTGACTTAAGCACTTACATCTATTTAGTGTCAATAGAAACTAGTTGGTATTGGTATTTTGCCTCGAAGCAAGTTGCATGAACTTCCCGATATGTGTAAATAATCGAATTAATCAATAACAAATAAATTAATTTATGAGTTATTAAAAGTATTTCGAGTGAATTTATTACTCATAATTGAGAACAAAAGAACACGTTAACTTAGAGTATTTTCTAAAAGAAAATTTTCACAAATCAATAATTTTTATAATTGAACTTGTTTCCATGGGACTTTAATGGTTTAGTATGTTCATTAAGACCAAGTACTCAGTACTCAAGTCAAAATAATACTCATTTTCTCAAACTTTGATGATTTTATAAAATTAAACTACTTGTCGTAAGGCCGTAATATTTCAATAAGTTGTATAAGACCATGATATATATCATCAAAAAAACTTTCATAAAAATCGGCTCAATTCTTTTTTCAACAACGAATTACAAGAAAACGGTTCGGTAGATTTTCACCTAAAATTATTCAGTATCATTCCCAACTAATATCTTTCGAACAGTTTTTGATTTTTTACAATCGATTTGGTAGTATGAGCTTAAATGCGGACGAAAAGTTTAACACTTTTTTCCAAATTTCAAAAGAACAGCTCGGCTGATCGTCGCACAAAAGTGACAAGCGATAGTCCTGTTTCTGAAATCGGTTCAGGCGTTTTCGAGCAAACGTCGATGAAAGGTCTAATTTTGACGAACGCCAAAAAAACGATATCAATTTTTGCAATCTTTGAAAAAATTTTAAAGCTAAACGAGTTGTCGTAAAACCGTAATATTTTAGTATGATCTAGAAAACTATGGTATCTATAGTCAAAAAAATAATAATAACCGTTGAAAAACAAATTTTCAACACTTTATTTAAAGAAAACGGCCCAGCCAACCTCTACTACACTACCAAGAACTCATCAGCACGATTCCCAACCCATATCTTTCAAACGGTTTTTGAATTTTCAAAATCGATTCAGAACTCGGGCTAAAACGTGGACGAAAAATTTTTCACTTTTCTGCTATTTACAAAGAAACGGCTTGACTGATCGTCGCGCAAAATTGATAAACGCTAGCCCTCATCGCGATACATCGAATGGCTTTTAAATTTTTGAAATCGATCCAGCCGTTTTTGAGAAAACGACGATTTACGGCAAAAAATCTGTTTACAGACACGCACACACATACATATACACACACACATACTTTTTCCAAATTTGGTCTAATTCGATTCAGAATGGCTTGAAACGTCGAGAAAACATAAAATTAGCAAATCGGGATTTTT